AAAAAAAGCCAGTAACACAACTAGACCTATGTGAAAGAGTCTGGGTTCATGTTTCAGAATCTTCCAGAGTATGCCCACATGTACCCATGATCCGGGCCAGAAGAGCCGGGGGGTGGAGGGACAGGTCACAATGTAAAGACCCTGGTAGGGGTGCCTCTCTGTCTAGTTCTCTCTCACACATGGAAGAATTTTTTTTCTTAGTCTACTCTGGGGCACGTGCTCTAAATGAAGAGCAACAGAAAGAGAGAGGGTAAGAGAGAAAGCTTTCTCCCACTCCCTCTACCCATCTCTCTGTGTCTCTCTGGTGAATGCATGGACTCACTGGCAATTAAAAAAACAAAAAAAAAAACATTATTAGCACCAGTATGTAAACATAACCTGTGGGGACCAGCAGGTGGCTCTGGCCAGTGGCTAAGGTGCTGGATTCCCACATGGCTGACAGTGGTTTAAGTCCCAGACCAGACAGCAAGAAAATCACACTGGGCATATGTGTGTGCATGCCCAAAATCCCCAGGAGATAATAAAAGAGAAGGGAATGCTACGTGGCCATTCCCCCCAGGGGGTAAGTTCTCACTTTTCCTCTCTCTCTCTGACAAAGGCACCCATCCTATGCAAAAACCTTTAAAAAAAAAAAGAAAAAAACTATGTATGGACATTCGTTGTAACAGTATAACAGAAAAACTGGAAACGTTCAAAAAGTCCACCAAGAGAGTGTTAATTAAATAAACATAATTTATTTACTACTATGAAAATGTGGTAGATGCCTACTGACACAGAAAACTGTCCAATAAAAACAATAAATCACATTTTTGAATTTTTTCAAAGGAAAAGATTAAACCAAGTTTGGAATATTTCATCTGGTGTCTTCCATTTATACTGCAAGGGAATCACATCTGCATGCAGAATTGTACATGCGCAAGTACATGTTCTAAGGCAAGAGTCCACAGTTTTTACTAAGTTGAGGATTATATGTTCCCAAAAAGAGTCACTAAACAATCACTAAAAAAGCTTCCCGGGCTCTGACTATCTCAGAAAAGTAGTTAGGTTATACCTGAATAATAAAGCCTTTGGGGAGGAAAGAAGTTAATCTTTATTTTTTTTAATGGAGAGGTTTTTGCCATAGGGCCAGTGTGCTCGCCAGACAGACAGAGAGAGACAGAGAGACATAAAGCAAGAAATCACCCCCCCAGGGGGGATGGCCACGCTGCAATCCCTTCTCCTCCATTCTCCTCTCGGGATCTTGGACACACACGCACACGCGCCCGGTGTGAGTTTTAAGCTATCAGATCCAGGTCTCAAACCATAGTTGACTACATGCCAGACACTAACTGCTAGTCCCAAGAAGTTAATCTTTTAAGGACATGCTAAATGCCTCTACCACAGAACATAAAATTTTTATTTCAAGACACCTAAATCCAAGGGTTTGAAGAAGTTATTCTTCAGGTGAGCTTGTATTCATTCACTAGCTAATTACAAACCTCAACCAAAAATTAAAGAGCTACAACCATCTTGAAAACAGGTGACTAGTTCGTGCTTAAATTACAGCTCAAGTCAGATCACACAAAGGGAAATGAAGTCGAAGGTAAGTAGCTCCATCTGTCACAGTTCAAGAGCTGTGGACTCACACATGTAAAGGTTCAGGAGTTATGCAGTCTATCTAAATAAAAAAAAAATGTGGACTGGGCCAGGGTAGTTAAGGCTACTGGATCCCACATGGTCAGTGCTGTGGTTCAAGTCCCAGACCATGCGGCTTGAAAAACACACTAAATGGCAAGAGAAGAATGGAGAAAAAAGAGACTGCTGTATGGCCATCCTCACAGGGGAATGATTTCTCACTTTCCCTCTCCCTCTGTCTCTCTCTCCAGTAAGTGCAGACACCCTAAAGCAAACCAAAAGAAAGAAAAAAGAAAAAATAGTAGATTAAAATAAGATGGATCAATGAGGTCTTATACATATTGGGTTGTCAGAAAAGTCATGACATAGTTTTCTATGCAAAAATGTGGCATGACTATTCTGATGGCCCAATAGAAAAGCCCAATAGGCTTTTCTTTGTACAATAAAAACCCTTTCTGGAGGCAGATGAGGCAGAAGGAATCCAATGTTTCTGAAATTAATGTCATGTAATATATTAGTATTTTAAACACTGGAGCCACTTTTAGAATCAGCAGGATGTAATAAAGACAGGAATAAGTGAGTAAATAATAGCAGGGGTATCCTCTATCCTAAAATGAAAATATACCTTAGAACAGTAGCTCTAGGCCAGCCCTATATCCTCCAGTGGTTACAAGAGCCATTTTCCACATGGCTGACTGTGGAAATCCCAGCTCCAGGGGCTTGAAACACACACCAGGGGTGGAGAAACGATTGTAGTGTGGCCATGCACACACCAGGGGTGGAGAAACGGAGAAACGATTGTAGTGTGGTCATGGGAGGGGCCTGCTGGGGGTGGGGTGCTTTTCCCTCTTTCTCCCTCTTTGGTAAGTGCACATACCCTCTGGAAATTAAAAAATAAAAAAGGAAGAACAGTGGTTCTCAACCAAGGTAATTTTGCCCTGGGTGGGGGGATGTTTAGCCATGTCTAAATACATTTTTGATACCAGGACTGAGGAGGTGCTGCTGGTATCTTATGGCCGAAAGATCATACAACCACCTTTCACCCTTCTACCTCAACCTGCCTCAAAATGTCAACAGTGCCAAGGTTGAGAAACCCTGCCTTAGAAGTAGGCGGGGGAGCAGATCACTGAAACTATGCTTTGACATAATCAACTTTATCTAGAAATCCTACCTTCACAGGGCTTATTTGTTCAGAAATACTGACACTTCGCCAACTAGCACGGAATGTATTGAAATCCAGGATTTTCAAAATGTTAAAAGAAAGTTAATGATCTACTTTCCCAGTTAGCTAACCTTCTGAAATTTTACAAAAGCCATAGTCAAAAAGACAAAATAATGTTAAAAGGAAAAAAAATTATACACACTATTTATTTTACAACATTGAGCCACAAAAGCACACCTTTTATATTATGTTATTTACGTAAAGTTCAAGAATAGGCAAAAACTGATTTCTGGCATTAGAAATCACTAACGTAGTTCCTCTGGGGCAAAAGGAAAAGCAGAGCTGGGAGAGATCCTAAGGAAGACTTCTGGGATGGTAGTAATTTTGTGTTTCTTAATCTGGAGAGTAGTTATATAACTGTGTCCGTTTTGTGACAATTTATCAAGCCGTATACCAACAATCTGTGCAATTTACTGTGCACAGATAACATTTCAACAAAAAAATGCATATTATATATTTACATCCTAAAAATCTGAGCACTTTGACTAAGGAAAGCTAAATTAATGGCAACGACAAAAGTAAAAGTGTTTTGTTTTATAGGCTGCCTTCCAAGAATTCAAGAAGGACGACACCCCCAGAAAGCTGTAAATAGCACACTCAGCACTCACACAGCATTCAGCTGTACACTTAAGCCACTATATACCCCTCGGCAGCCATCCAAAGATTTGACAAACACTAACAAATGCAGTTGATCTTTTTTTCCATGGACGGTTTGTTTGGTTTATTTCTCCCAATGTTAAGATAGAAAGCTTTATCAAAGAATAGGCTCTAGGAAGTAAATGATGCTTTCTCTTCCCTAATCCTGCATGTTCCCAAAGCTCACCCAAACTAACTCCCTCTTGGACCTTCAACCCGTTAGGAATTCT